TAACAGTCACACAAAAGAAAGGGATTTTAGTGTAATAGTCGTTCAGTCTCTAAAGCCATCCAAACAGTGTGTTATTGATAGTGCAAATAGGATTTTAGGTTGTATCTACAGAAATATTGAATACAAGTCTAAAGAGGTTATAATTTCATTGCATAGGTCACTGGTTATGCCACATTTGGAGTATTGTGTTCAGTCTTGGACTCCTTACCTCAGGAAGGACATTGAATTGTTGGAAAGGGCTCAGAGGAGGGTTACTAAAATGGTGCCTGAGATGGAGGGGTTTTCATATGAGGACAGATTAAGATTTTTGAAATTGTTTTCTCTTAAAAAAAAGAAGAGTAAGAGGGGATCTGATTGAGGCGTTTAAGACTAAAGGGAATTAATAGTGTTGATGCATCATCTTTTTTTCATATTTAACAGTAAGAATAGTAGGACTATGGGTCACAAATAGAAATTTTGGCAATGTAGGAGTGATCTTCAGTTAATACAGTTTTATTTTTCTAACAGGACGGTTGGCCTCTGGAATGGGTTGCTGACAGATGTGTTGTGGAGGCAGTAAATTTAAGAGAAAGCTTGTTAACTATATGAATCACAAGTGCTGGCTTTAATATTCTAATTTTGAGGATGGCACAGCTGAGATGGAAGAGTAAGTCCCTTAGTATATGTTATTATATATGTATGCATGTTGCTGGGTAAAAATGAAGGGAAACAAATTGTTATAAATACATATATATATAACCAATGCATTTTTTTTGGGGGGAACAGAAAGGATTTATAAATTATCTTAGTATGTATAAGTTCCTTGTCCTAAAGTTCATGAGATGTAACAAAAACGTTTTTATATAAACCGAATTTATTCAAAAATATGTTGAGAATGCTCATACAAGCCACAATTGTGGGATTAAAAAACATGTTGTTACTTTGTTTTTCATATTTAATTAACTTGTCATGTAGAATCTTAAAACATTTATAACGTAATTACATTACTTAGAATTTATCATGATGTGTTTTTTATTTGTTTTTTTGTTGTTTTAAAACATTCATGTGACATTTAAATCAATTACATTTACAGTATTTCAGGTAATGATATATAAATAACCTTGACTCAAACACAAAAACCCTCACTGGGATGGGTATTCCACAGTCATTTTAATTACAAATAATCTTTCTTATAAAAATATTAGCAAAAAACAACCTTATAAAGCTACCTTGAATATCATAAAAAACTGGACATTATTGGAATGAAAATTGTAAATCTGACCACTTGAATTATTACAAACTTATTTACTGTTACTTCATCAAATTATAAGTCTTACAGATCAGACTAAACAACCTGATTGTTTGTTTTTATTATCACAGGTATAATTCTAAAAGGTTTTACATATGATCCAGAGGCTCAAAATAATTTATTTCCAGACAGGTTTTTGTTTTAAAAACTTGTTTTTTGCCACTATAATGATTTTTAGAAATAAAAATTATAATAACAGTCATATTTTCTATTAAAAGTATTTTTTCTGCAAAAGCAGTGCATTTGTTGTTTTAAGAAAAATCCAAAGCACTTGAAATCATGAGATAAAGACAAAGTTTACTTAGTGACACAGTTTGATAAGGCTTCCTCAAACTTCTCTACAAAGCTTTTGTCTAACATTTTCAAACGTAACAGTAGCTCTGCTTTTTCCTCATCACCCCAATTGTCAAACCACTCACCAAACAGTTTCATGCGACACTGAAATATACTGATGGGTCGATCCTCTAACTGTACAGTTCTGAGTGTGTCTGATAACGTATCAGGATTACCCGGTACATATTTATCTCTTAAAATTTGCAGAAAATTCTCTTTCTGCAGACTGCTGTACTCCTGAAACCACTCTAACAGGTACTGTAACTGTTCTGTTTTTCCAGGTGGTTGTCTGCCAAATACTGACTTTATCTCTGTCATCTGGAATAGGAGACTCAGTCAGTCATAGAATAAACAGTTAATAATTGTTTACTGGTCATTATGAGAGTTTAAACTAGAAGTACGACAGTAAAATGTTTCAACAAATCTACTATCCCTCTCATGAAGTTTTCTCAACAGGTTAGTTCTTTCTCTATCTGTCCACTCATCAAACCAAGATGAAAAAAGATTTAACTGGCACCTGAAAACACTGGGAGAATTTTCTTGGACTGTCAGAGCTTCCAAACAATAAGATACATTACCAGTACTTAGAGGAAGTGCTTTATCCAAAAGTAATTCCAAAAACTGTGCTTTCTGAGACTCTGTCCATAGTGTAAACCAGTGTAGAACACATCTCAGTTCTTTTTCCTGAGGGCTTATAGACATTGTGTTATTTTGTTTCTTAACCAATTAAACCTGAACAGAAAAGAAAATACAATGGAGAGTTATTCACACTCTTTAGATAAGGTTAGTATACAAGAAATACTCATTCTCCCAAGTTACACAATAAACATTAGACAACTCATAATAGACCTAAAACTTGTAACATAACCTGATAAACTGGAGGTGTTTTCTACCACACTGCTATTAATTTGTCCATTTCAGATTCAAACTTAAATGATTCATTGAAGTTTATATAATACAGCAAACGATGCTGATGTGAAATTAGTACAAAAGTTTGTAGTCACATGCTGATTTTAGATATTTCATACACAGGGATTTCCTAGTTGAGATTTCCTAAAAATAAGTCTCCTGTTCAAGTTATAAAACATACGTGGCCATTATTGTCTAAAACTGAAAAATATTACTTAAACTTATTCAAGCTTTTACTGCATGTGTGAAAAAACTGTATATTGATTCCAAATTTCTTAAGTTTGAAGTATCTTTTAACAGCACTAATAACAGGAAACAGTATTTCAACCTATAAATAAAATTTATTAAATTTGAAATGAAACACTCAATCTACAGCATATGTTACAGGTACAGTTGCAACATACTTCTCATTATCATAAAGCAAATGTTCCTGATTATGTAAACTTAAAACGAACAGATTGAAAATAGTAAACTTTTAATAATATGCTAGCTTTCCTAACTGAAAAAGCTAGATAAATCAAAACATTCTCTAAAGAAATTCATTTTTGTTGAATGAATTTGAAACTCTATCTAATTATCAGTTATGTGTTACTGATAAATAGTTTTAGCTAGGGAACAAAGTTTCTGTCCTCCTTAAAAGATTACAGTTCATTGAATTTTTTATTCCTTTTAAGTCACTCTTAAGTTGGGAAAATTATTTTGCAATATGATCAGAAAATTATTTTCAACACATTTGTACTGAGATTTTGAGGTTAGATATGTTAGGTTTTCATGATTTTAACCTTAATCCAAATGTTTCCAATATCTAACCTATACAAAAGCCAGTGTGGGTGACATGATGCTTAATTTCTCAAAATAGGAGTCATAAGAACCAAAATGCATTTATCCAGATAGAATAGTTCAATTACTGTCTGCCCATTACAAGTTTAGTGATGGGGGTGCAAAAGAGCCATGAAGGGGGCACCGTGAAACCTTATAAGTTAGTGAGTGTTGATATAATATGCCTAATGTAGTGTGAGATAATTTAGCCTAGAGCCAAGTGCATAAAATTTATCATGAGGGTAAAAATATCAATTCAATTTTAAGTTTAAATCATTTCTGAATTAAGCTATTTTCTGTTATACCACCAAAGTTTCTAATAAAAAACAAACCTCTTTAATCAACGGAGACACTAAATTAAGAAATCAACAAATATTTTTCCAGTTTTGTTGTCTATACATTTCATTTTATACTTTCACTACATAGACTAACAACAATATTACTTTTGTTGCTAAGCAACATAACATAAAATCCATTGTTGGAACCTAGTGTTACAAAGGTGCACTGGCTTTTCTATATATTAGAAGTTGTTAATCTAACTGATTTTTACAAATAATTATTCTATGAATAAGCCACGAATTAATTTCATGAATGATCTTACTTTTAATTGGCTCACAAAGGAATTTACCGACATTTGACTGCCTCTTTGTTGATCAAGCTTGATTTCCCAAAATTTATAGGGTATATAATGTGGTGGAGTGGTAATACTTCCCCATCATTTTTGATGGGCTATACATTACTTACAAAGATAAAACATGCTTTGACAGATATTTGAAAAATAAGTCTCCTTGTTATTTAAGAATTAAAGAAATCCTTCAAATAAAACATGAAACACAGTTTGAATGTGAAGAAATTTTCATTGTCATTACCCTTTCTAATCTTCAGATAACCACAGTGGTGGAAAAATGTATTGCAGCACCCAATTTTTTCACACTTTTCTTCAGAATCATCATCTGTTTTGAGGCCCTAATGCATGTAGGTGCAAATGTGTTTCATGGATGATGCGATAATGTCCAGTTATTACATCAGCAGTTATAGGCTGTCTGAATATTGCATCAGCTATTTTAAAGATATAAATAGTTCTTATTGAGAGTCAGTTTAGAAGCCTATCTGTTACTATAGCTGCTTGTGCTGCAGCTATAGCTATGGGTTGCAAGTTAATTCCATGGAAAAAGGCATTGTTTCTTTGAGCAGAGAGGGACTTTCGACAAGGAAGACTACTGGAAGAATGAAATTTAACCATTCTATTGTAAGCATCTGGATGCAATGATATAGAGATTGGCTGTGTGGGGCAGCAGAATGGAAAGGCTAGGAAGAAAGCTTCCACAGCAGCTGACAACCATATTCTGAAACGCATATGCCTATACAATTGTTGAATATCATCCACATATCCTAAAACATATAAAAAGCTACAGAAACCAATGTTTAAGAACGAATTTTGACTTAAAATTTTATTTTTAAACCAATGGATGATGGTAGAGTATGTAAGTTCGTATTACTATTAATCAATTCAAATATGATATAATGAATGACATGAATAAAGCAAAATACGTGTCTACAACTTACAAGTGTAACTTGTAAGAACTACGACTATTATCTAATAAGTTAAAGTAGCGACATTTTTTATATAAAATAAAATTCTATTTTAACCAAGTTTGTGCACACTAATTATTCGAAAAGGCTTACTAATTAGAGATTAATAATTTATTTTTAATGAGTACTATAAGCACTCAGTAGTACCGTGACGTTTACAAATAATATTAACCCGTTTATGTTATAATATTAATACTAACAGTAACAAATAATGAGTTTCACAATTTGAAAATGTATAGCCACAACTGCGATTTTATTTAAATTCTGGATGTAGTTTAAATTAATTTAAACATGATAAATGAAAAATTTAATTAAACTACTATTATTATTAGTTGATAAACAAACATTACATTCAATTTTACCACATACGTTGCACTACCCTTGGTTTATACACTGTCAGACAACATTGCCGAAAGACGGCGTAGAAGACACTCAAAAGCGGAAATAATATAGAAATTATGCTTACGAAAATTTTAACTGAAATTATTATGCATGAAGTTTTATTATTTTTAGAGGTTTACTTTTTACAATACCACGCTGATAGAACTTTTGAATTTATATACAACTAGATACAAGGAACAAATGTTTTAATGAAAGTTTTGTTTTCCACATTGTTTAGAATGTTGTAATTTGTAATCATATAGAGCCGTGCAAGACATAGTCGATAAAAATTTTTTTATCTAAATAGTTTAAATTCGTTCGAATGTCTGTTATCTAAGTCGTAAAATATAAATAAAGTCTCATTATAATAATACTGTTTTATGGTAATAATAATAATAAATTAATTGCTTATTATTCTTCATGACATATATACGTATATTTTAAGTCATCATAAATAGGGGAATATAATTATTTGTTGCTTATTCTAAAATTGATCTTAACTCCTGCTTAAAACTGCAAACTTGTTTCAATATAAAAAATATGAATACAGCAAATAAATCAGCATAGCCCAACTAGACACCTTGTTTTTTTATTATTATTCCTGCTCCCCAGTGGCTCAGTGGAAGTCTAAAGGCTTATAAAGCTAAAAACCGGGTTTCGATAACCGTGATGGAGACAACACAGATAGCCCATTGTGTAGCTATGTAGCTATTATATTCTTAGTAAAGTGTTCAGCTATACAGAATTGAAATAAAACGACCATTAAATGTCTCTATAAGCATAAATAATTTTTTTATAACATGTATAACCAACATTAAAAAAGTAATACAAGAAAACTTTTTTTACTATTCAAAATGATGCACATATTTTCTAAAGCATATCCAGAGTATCAAGATGAAAGCAAATTTTCAAAATCAAAAAGTTAGTCATATTATAATGATAAACGTTTGTTGTCAAGCGCAAAGCTACACAATGGTGTTGTGCCCGATACAGGGTTCTAATTTCGAATTTTAGTGTTATAAGCCTTCAAGCTCACAATTTATCCACAGTGGGAGCTGTAATTATGAGATATTTGAGTTATGATTACACATAAGAAAAAAAGAATAAAACTGTTGTAAATCGTTTTTCGAGTTATTTCAATCAAAAATTGACGTAACGTTTATTGCATTTTTTGCTTGAAATTACTCATTAATTAAAGGAATATATATATCTAATTTTATTTAAATTATTATTGTCATTAAACTAGAATCTTTGTTGATGACTTGAAGCTCAGTAATTTTTTTGTTTCGTTGGTTGAACATGCAGTGCTCCAGAAATAATTAAGAACTAATGCCAGTTAGACACTGAGCTGATGTATACAAGATATGCTGTATTTAATTTGCCATAATGCACCGTTAATTTTAGTAAGCGATTCAATGCATTCTTGGTTTGGTATGACCCAATGATTATGGCATTCGACTCGCAATCTACGGGTCGCAGATTCAAATCCCATCACAGAACACGCTCTTCCTGTCAGCTGTGGGGGTGTTGCAGTGTAATGGTAAATCCCACTATTTGATTAGAATAGCCCAAGTGATGGCGGTGGGTGATGTTGATTAGCTGCCTTCCTTCTAGTCTCTCATTTCTAAATTATAAAAGGCTAGCGCGGATAGCTCTCGAGTAACTTTGCGAGAAATTCAACAAACAAATCACTGCATTGTTTATCATGACACTGTTCAGACTTTCCGTACATTCAGTTAGACTGTCTGTGGCGCAATGCTAGTTTAGGATATTGTGGCTGGAAGAGATAATATTGTTACGTCTCTGGTGATTAGTTAATTTTCCGTAAAAAAATTATTTCCGAAGAAACTTCAGCGATACAAGTCCTTTCTTAAATAAAACTGGTTTATTCTTTCTGAATACAACTTTGCAATACACTTAATCTCCACAGTCACGCTATAACAAACTGTCAATTACACATTGTTGCCGTCACTTCTTGGCGGCTTATATATACAAGGCTACCGCATATCTAGTAGCCCCTCGAGACTTCAGGAAGGGACGTGAACGTTCGAGAATATGACGCGTTAATAGCGTCACGTCACCCCTGCTGTCGTAACAATATTGTTGCGTCATCGAGTCACATGACTACTGTGACGCAACATTTCTAGAACTATCATGTACTTTGGCGAATGTTCTAGTTCTTACTAGATATAGGGTAGGCTGGTATATAAAAGAGGGGAATGTAATGTCTGGGTAGACAGTGAGTAATTGAACTGCAGTCAGAAGTATTGTAGACGTTCGTTGTTACAGCGTTTATTTAGCGCGATTGTTGAAGTTGAGTGTATCGGTAAAGTTATATTCGGAAAGAATAAACCAGTTTTATTAAGTAAAGACTTGTGTCGTTAAAGTTTCGTCGGAACTAATTTACGGAGAGTTAATTAACAAACGGAGACGTAACAAATTGGTGTCAGAAGTGGGATAAAAAAATGGAAACGAGAAGCGGCAAATCAAACTACAGCATAGCAGATTTTCGTGCTCTTGTATTGCTGCCATCAAGGGAAACAAGAAGAGAAGA